ACAGTAGCAATCCCCAACCTTTTTGGCACCAGGGAGTGGTTTTGTGGAAGACAATTTTTCCAGAGATGGGGTGAGGTGATGGTTTTGGAATGAAACTGTTCTCAGACATTAAATTCTCATAGAGAGCACACAACCTCCATCCCTTGCATGCATAGTTAAGTGTTCATAATTCAACAGTGTTCATCCTCCTATGAGAATCTAATGCTGCTGCTGATCTAACAGGAGGCAGAGCTCAGGTGGTAATGGTCACTGGCCCATTACTCACTCATGCTATGCGGTACTGGTACTGGTCCACATCCAGGAAGTTGGGAATCCCTGGTCTACAGAAGAGTACTAAGTACTGTGGTGCTCTGCTTCACTTTGGAGACAGGTACACTGCTGCTAGCTGCTTTCTAACAAGAGTAAGTAGATTGCTTAAGACCAGGCCAAATGGTGTTCTGTCCTTCCTTAGAATCCTTATTCCTGTCTCAGATGTGTTGTTTGACTGGTGAGATAAACAATCTACACCAGATTCTAGTATAATGACTCTAATGTTTTAGTTTGGGGAATACTATCATAAGAGACGTCATGTAGGAAGAGTACAGACATTTTAAGAGGCTAAATTGCTCCTTCTATTTTCACTGTGTGGGAGAAAGAGAGATGTCAGAAGAACTGTTAATCAGTGAAATTGAAAAGTAATTTAAGGCTCTCTTTTTATTAGCTATAACAGCTCAAGCATAGTGAATAGGACCCTTCTTGGATTAATGAGGCAAACTGGAAGGCAATTTTTTTAATGTCAAGCTGGCATGAAGATCTTGTGCTATTATTAGACCCAGGAAGGCAGAGACTACAAAATAGCCATGACACATCATTTAAAAATAAAATAAATAGGCTAAGTTTACATGACGTGAAAGATTTCTGAAAACTTGGTGTGAAATGTATTTAACTTGAACACATTGCTTTAAAAAGATTTTCTAGAGCTAGATTCATAAGATTACAATAGAAAAATCACTATGGTAAGCAAATTTTTACACTTTAAAGGAGAATTTTTTTTTTTTTTTTTTTTTTTTTTTTGCTGCCTGACTGCCATATCATGAGCTGCCTGCCTGCTCCTGGGAAGGGCCTGTCCCAACTGGCTCTGCCCTGTCACCACAGTGTCCCCAGTTGGCTGAAGCTGGCCTTTGAAGATGTAAGGGAGCAGGTTTACAAACTGGCCAAAAAGGGCCTGATTCCCTCACAAATTAGTGATCCCAAGGGGTTTACCGAAAGGAGGATAATATCCAAATGTGAATAAAAATTCAACCCAATTTTACAGATATCAGTCTTTGGCCTATGTCAGCAAAGTCTGATACATGGAAGAAATTATGCATCTTACTCATCACCTGTGTTCCCAAGAATAGTACACATGGGGGTAATAAGCCCAGTTATTGCTTTTTTTAATATATATTTGTGACAATTGATTTCCTGTTAGAGATAAAACTCTTCCAAAAGTAACAAGGATAATTTGATAAAAGACGAATAAATGAGGCTGAATAGTCTACAAATAACTTAAAAAACAAAAATCAAAGCCAAAAAAATAGCAATAATCAAAAAGACTTCTTATTCCCTCCTAAGAGAAGTTCCATCTGCCTTTAAATGGCATAGGTTTTTTCATTGACTGAGAGCTACAGCCAAGAAGCCAAGACAATGAGGGCCACAGCCACAGAGACAATGAGTGGCAGGTGGCAGAGATGGCCAAAAGATGCAAACTGCTTCAGTCTCCCCTCAGAGGCTGCTCCCTAGTGACTGTATTCCCCTTCCGGCTGGTGACAAACTTCCTCTTGAGAGCCTCTTGAGGCTTACAAAAGTGCTTCAATTCTCTGTATACCCTCTTCAGGGAGGAAAAATGGAGCGACTTCAAGCAGAAGTTGCTATCTGAAACACAGAGCTAGTCTAAGCTTTTATGGTACAATGCTGATTGGGCAAAATAAGTAACCAGGTGAAAAGAAAATAATTTTTTAAAGTAACCCCTTCTCTTCTCTGTCATTAAAAGTACCAGTGGCCGGGCGCAGTGGCTCATTGCCTGTATTCTCAGCATTTTGGGAGGCCAAGGCAAGTAGGTCACCTGAGGTCAGGAGTTCAAGATGAGCCTGGCCAACGTGGTGAAACCCCATCTCTACTAAAAATACAAAAATTAGCTGGGCGTGTGGTGGGTGCCTGTAATCCCAGCCACTCGGGAGGCTGAGGCAGGAGAATTATTTGAACCCAGGAGGCAGAGGTTGCAGTGAGCCAAGATTGTTACATTGCACTCCAGCCCGGGTGACAACAACGAAACTACGTCTCAAAAAAAAAAAAAAAAAAGTACCAGTATCATTTCCATCTTAATCATCCTCTACAACTTTTTCACTAAAAATAAAACATGCTCACTACACTTCAACATTTTGTTTCTAAAAAACAATTAGAATGCCAGGAATTTCCTAATCTCTGGCTTACCTGCCCAAATTCTTGTTCATATAGCTAACAGGGTACAGTTAAATAAAATTAATTTTATATAATCTTGAATATAAAATACTATTTTTCCTGCGAGGAAATTTCATTTTTTTAGTATAAAAATTTCATTTTTATGAAATCTCATTCATTTTAGTAGTTTCATTTTTATACCCAAAGTGGCCAGAGACACTCTAACTCTGAGGAAATGGCTCTGTCTACAGCAGAAAGTTAGAGGGTTCCTCTTGTACAAATGCAAACTGACAGTCTATTTTTCCTAAATCTAACTTAAAATCTTTTTTTCCCACAGTTTATCAAGTGCTTGTTAAACATGCACCATGTAGGTTCCGTGTGAAGACAGAGAAACAGAGAGAGATGAAACCTTACATTTTATCTAAGCATTATTTAATTAAACTGTCCTAAACCTCCTATTTATTAAGACTTTGAAGAAATAATAATAGTTTTCCTAAAATACCTATGTGAACTGCCTAACTGTTCAGACCAAAAAAAAAAAAACCTCAGTAGGGAAAAAAACCTGCCTCATCCAAATTAGAAACCACAGAACTACTAAGATGTAGCTGTTAGCAAAATTTCTATAAAGTGTAATACTATACTAATTATAAATAGGACCACAATGGGATCCCCTCCCCAACCCAAGCATTATGGAACACAAAAATATAATTTGAGGGAAGACAAAATTTTCTGCTACTTTTCCTGTGACAATTTCAGAAGGCCTGATATAAAAATTAATCATAAATGTGCTTAGATGTTAAATCAAATACGAAGTGTACTACATAAGAATTAGCAAGCCAGTACAATAACTGCTGGCACCAAAGGAGGTTTTTTCCTTTTAGCCAGATAAAATCTCTCTGGGTTTTATTTTTGTTTTGCACTTCAATGTTACTACCATGAATTACTTCAAAGTGAGAAAGGCACATTTATATCTTGCTAACTGCTCTTCCAGTTCACTCAACTCAAGTGAAAGATTTATGGTTTCTTCTTCTTCCTCTTGCTGCTTTCTGAAATTGCCATATCATATACATGATGCCAGCCTTGTCTCAAATCAAAAACTGAATTCTAGAAATGTAGGAGCAGTCAGTTAACCATAACTCTACGTTCATTTTAACTTTATGGATGCTCACAAAGATCACTGATTCAGAGGAGTTAAAGGTGAGCTCATTTCAACTGCTTTTCAAGCTACTTTCTACATAGCTTTTTATTCCAATGGACTTGAAAAATATAAAGGAGGAAAATCAAATACAAATGCTCCTCAACTTATAAGGGGGCTATGTCCTGATAAACCCATCATTGGTTGAATATGTAATAAATCAGAAATGCATTTGTGTGCTTTTGAAATGTGTTTTTGACTTATTTTCGATGTAATATGGATTTATCCAGATGTAGCCATATTGTAAGTTGAGGACTGTCCTGAATGTGTACCACTTTTATACCCAAAAATCATAAGTCAAACTGTCATAAGTTTGGGACTGTCTATATCTACGGTTCTTGGGGCAAAACAATGAATAGATCTGGTATTTATTTTGGCTGTTGTTATTAGCTATGATTGCACGATACACTAAGTCCAGTTCCAAAATGCCTCTCAGAGTACCACTAATGATCTGTCATACGGTAATCTCTTCCGTGTTTACATAAGACAAATGAAAACAATAGCAAGCAAAATAGAATGCAGAGTCCTAGCCTACTGAGTAATTCAGAATAAAAATAATCTGTAACCTCTTACTTAAAAAAATATTAATTTCCCAGTACAAATCCACATCATTCATTGTTACGACAGATGCTATTTCTGTGTTGAGAGACATAGTTGGTCCTTTCCTTAAGAAATGCAGGTAGAAAACTTGCACAATTATTTCATGGAATTTTATTTGGTAAATAAAAATAGCTTAAGTAAAGAGTTGGTAAGGAGGGAAAAAATGTTTATCTGCCATACATAAAACTGATTTTCATATTTTCACAGACGTCTTGCTGTTCCTGTCAAGAGCTTATCTTCAGAGGAGGGCAGATACCTTTTTACTGTGAGAAAATCTTTAGTACAAAACTAGATTGAGATAACTTGGCAAAATGATAAAAAGATGATAATGATACACACTCTTTGCTTAGCCTTTATACTCATGATATCCTAATTTCATTTCTATGATCTCCATAAGAAAACAGCAGGGAAGGTTATAGCATCATTTCCATTTGATGGGTAAAGAAAGCAAAGTTAGAGAAGTGTGTGATTGGTTAGAACTGCTGTATTAAGAAGCCCAGTGGAAGAATCTACTTCTAGTCTAGTGGTCTGTTCACTATATTAAGCTATTCCTCTGAACACCACATTTTGAGAAATAATAGGAGCAAATAAAAAACAACTGTGATATAATAGAAGCCACGTAAAGTGCAATTTAACTTAGTGACTATGGCCTGTACTGCACTTCTTGTTTTAAGATTTTTTAGTACATGGTCATTTAAAACACTTGGCGGGAAGCAATTTATTTTGCTTAATGACCTGAAGCCACTGCTTCCCTCCCACCAAGATATTTTGAAGGGAACTCTCTTACCTCTGCCCCGGAGTATGAATCAGTCTGAAGGATGAGCTCATTCAAATCAACATCATTACTGATAGGCATGGAGTGAAACTGCAGCTTCAGTATTTCCCTTCTTGTTGCTTCATCTGGTAACGGCACATAGATGATTCTATCAATTCTTCCAGGCCTCATCAAAGCCTATAAAGAAAATGAGGCAACATGAATTAACCAGGCTCAGAACTGACATTCCACCTCAAAGATACCCATGGAAAGATGTCTGGCATTTCACGAATAATCCAATATTATTCATAATTGGTAAATAATACAAGTACCAGAGATTCTATAATCTATGTCACAGATACAAACAATATCAAGAGTACTGTTGAAAATAGAAAAGGAATATTTATGGGAGGTTGTCCCTTCTCAGCAATTATCAGGTAAATAAAAGATGACTATTCTCTTTTCAAAAATGTAGAAATAATTTGCACTCATTATATCAAAAGGAATGTTTTTGTAACTTCCTTAAATAACTATTAAAATATAGTTTAAGGCCAGGGATGGTGGCTTAATATACACCATAATACCTGTAATCTCAGCATTTTTTCTTTTTTTTTTTTTGAGACAGAGCCTCACTCTGCCGCCTGCCCAAGCTGGAGTGCAAGTGGCGCCCTCAGCTCACTGCAACCTCTGCCTCCTGGGCTAAAGTGATCCTCTCACCTTAGCCTCCTAAGTGGCTGGGACTACAGGCATACAGCACCATGCCCAACTAATTTTTGTATTTTTTTGTAGAGATGGAGTTTTGCCTTGTTGCCCAGGCTGGTTTTAAAAACAGGAAAACTTACACTACTTGACTTCAAAACTTATAATGCTAAAGAAACAAGATAGTGTGAGAGTATCTAAAGGATAAAGATGCAGACAAATAAAATAGAAAAAGTAAGTCCATATTGATTTTAAGCCACTCGAGAAGGAAATTATCTTAAGAAAAGATACTGTGGATGATAGAAATCCATATAAAAAAAAATGAACATTGACCCTTACCTCATACCATACTGAAAAATTAACTTGAAACGTATGAGCTAAAACTACAACACTTCTAGAAGTATAAAAGAAAAAAATGGATAACTGGTATCTCTTCGAAAGATACCTTTAAGAAAATGAAAAGACAAGTCACAGACTGAGATAAAATATTTACAATATGCATATTTGACAAAGGACTTGTATCCAAATATATGAAGAAGCCTCATAATTCAATAAGAGCAACCCAAAGTAACTGAGCTAAAAACTTAAACTTGCTAACCATATAGGTTCCTTTGTGAGGTAAGTATGTGAAAAGATAATTAACATCAGTAGTTATCAGATCAATGCAAATTGAAACCACAATGAGATACCATTACCTTATCATAAGAATGATGAAAATTAAAGACACTAACAATACAAAAGACCAATCAAGGACATGGAGCAACTAGAACTTACATACGCTGTTAATGGGAATATAAAATAGTATAACCACCTTGGAAAACTATGTGGCAGCTTCTTAAGAAATTAAACATACCACATCATAACAACCCAATTATTTCACTCCTAGGTAGTCACCTAAGAAGAAAAAAGCCGTATCTACACAAAGACTTGTATATGGAAATTCATAGTAGATTTTATTTTTTTGAGACAGAGTCTCACTCTGTCACCCAGGCTAGAGTGTAGTGACATGATCTTGGCTCCTCCTGTGCTCAAGCGATCCTCTCTTCTCAACCTCCCAAGTAGCTGGGACCACAGGTGTGCACCACCATGCCCAGCTGTTTTTTTAATTTTTTGAGGTGGAGTTTCACTTTTATTGCCCAGGTTGGAGTGCAATGGTGCCATTTCAGCTCACTGCAACCTCTGCCTCCCAGGTTCAAGCGATTCTCCTGTCTCAGCCTCCCAAGTAGCCGGGATTATAGGTACATGCCACCACACCTGGCTAATTTTTTGTATTTTTAGAAGAGACAGGGTTTCTCCACATTGGACAGGCTGGTCTCGAACTCCTGACCTCGGGTGATCCATCTCCCTCAGCCTCCCAACGTGCTGGGATTACAGACTTGAGCAAATGTGACCAGCCTCAGCTATTTCTTTTGTATTTTCAGTAAAGATGGGGTCTTGCCTTGGTGCCCAGGCTGGTCTCAAACTCCTGTGCCCAAGTGATCTACCCACCTTGGCCTCCCAAAGTGCTGAGATTACAGGTGTGAGCCACTGTGCCCGGCCCACAGTAGCTTTATTCATAATAGCTAAAATTGTAAACATCCCAAATGTCTAACAACTTATGAGTACATAGTCAAAATATATAATGGAATACTACTCAACAATTCTATTTGTTGAGTAGTATTCCATTATATATTTTGAGGCCCAAGGTCATACAATTCTATTGTTGATTAGTATTCAGTAATTCAGGACTACTGAACACTCAACAGTGTGCATGAGTCTCATCATGCTGAGTCAAATAGAACAGACATAAAAGAGTACATACTACATAACTACTATATTTAAATAAAATATTTAAAAAACCCAATCTAATCTGTAGTAGCAAAAAGCAGACTAGGGTTGACTGAAACCTAAGGAAGAGGGAAAGATGAACTGCAAAGGGGCAAAAGCATGAAGGTGATGGTTCTGCACCTTAATTGCAGAGGTGGTTTTGTAGGTTTACACATGTCTAAATTAATTGATTTGTACATATAAGTTGATAGAATTATTGTATGTAAACTGAAACTAAATAAGAAGGATTTAAAAAGAGTGGTAACTTGCATTTGTTATATTCCTGTATTTATAAATCAGTAAATTTAATGGGACTAAAGATAGTTTCAAATTTTCTCTATCTGGAAAGATTATCATCTTTGAGTAAGCAGTTTGGAAAAAAATCACATAAGAAGTCATGTAAGAGAAAGACTACTTACTTATTTAATGAGCTGTGTCAGATCAATTTCTATGATTTGGCCACAAATTTGGTGACAAATATTACAACCATTTCAATCTCATAGCTAATTTATTTGTCATTTTGTTTTAATGTATTTCACCATCTTCATACTTAGAGTTCCAAATAGTTAAAATCCAAGAGTTAAAATCCACGGGGTCAAAACCATCATATCTCATACCAGTGCTTCATAACATACTTGAGTGAATGTTAACAAATGTAATGGAAAAAAGGGTTTTCTTCTTAAATAAATTTGGGGAACACTGTGTAGAAACAAAAAAGAAGGTTTGTACAGGTTTCTATATAAAAGAATTTTTGAAACTTACATTAATGGGTAATAAAAATATCCGGGAGAAACCTCTTGTAGTATGTAACAATTGTCTTTTAAATTCCCAAACTAAAAAAAAGAAAAAAATTCCCAAGCTCTAGTCATGGAACATTTCCATTTCCACTTTGGAAAATGCTGTTGTATACTTTTTGTATACGTTATAATACCTAGAAGAGGGTGACTATCTGTCAAATATCTATCAATTCTTATGCACAGATTAGCTGGCAAAAAGTCAATTAGGAAAAAATCATGCAATACATTTATTTTCCTTGCTTAAAAAATTAGAGTTTTGTTTGCAGACTATTCTGTACACCTAACATTAATTCATTAAGTAAAAATGATGCATGATTCGCTTTCTTGAAATGTATTTTATCAAAGAATTCAAAACTCCATTTCAATCATGGAAATCACTTCTTTCTACCTAAAACAAATACAGGACTCAGGAAATAAAGATGATTTCAGTAAATACATATTTTCAAAAACTGAAAACATTATCTAAGATAAATAACATTAATATTTACACAGTGCTTAAGAATCTATGAAGCATTTTCCACATACTACATAGCTCATTTAATATTTCCCAGATTTTGGGAACTAGGCATTATTTTACCCTATTAAGACAAAGAAAATGAAGCCCAAGGTCATACAATAAATTACAGAAACTAGGCTGAAATCTGGGGTTTGCAAATGTTGAATCAGTCCTTTTTAACTTTACTATTTCGACACTACATGACACTTATTATCAATAAACAAACAAAATTCTCATTCTGAAATATGATATTCCTAACAAAATAAAGTTTAACAATTCTCTCATCAAAAAAAATTATTAAGCATCTACTATGTGCCAGGCTATTTTACTTGCTGGGGATACAGCTGTGGAGAGCTTGGTTATTTTTTTAAAGTTGAAGTTGTCCTTTTCATCCTACTGGAATAACAAATTCTAGGCTATTTTAAAATTTCCTTTCTAATAGTTGAAAGAACAGAGCAGAGGATACAGAGCATACATGTCAGCTAAGTCACTGGAACACTCAGCATACATCTGTGTGTGTTTATTTATTTATTTATTTATTTTTAGCTGTGCTATCCTAGGGCACTGCAGGTTGAGTACACTTCAACGATTATAACATTGTCTGGGCTAACAGCCAGCTAGGCTTTTTCTGGCCTGATCTTGTCAGTGAAAGTTATGCTTAAAAAATAGTAGGAAAGAGCCTTCCTTCCTTTAGAACTCTGAATGAGAGTAACACCCTTCCTAGAATTTCTTTAAAAATACTGTTTTGGGATATTAGGGTGGAAGAATGTATTCTTAATGATGGCATGTTCCATTATTTTAAAATCACCATATGACAAGTCAATGAAAAAACAAGCCAAGGCTTTCTAATACTATGAGCCCTTCTGGCTCCAAGACCATATTGGATATTGTGATCTCTTCTCCATTAAAACCAACAAATTTTAAAAAAAACAACTCATAGAATTAACTCAATTTCTGAGAACTTGAAGACCTTGGGCAAGTCTCTACACTTGTAATAGCCTCAGTTTCCTCATGTGTGAAAATGAAGGCAGCTCTTTAATTATAGGGACCTATGTGCATTTGACAAAATTTCCCTGCAAACTGTACATCTGCAAAAATATCCCCAATTTTGCAAATGATTCCAGGGAATTCACCTGAAATCTGGCTGTGTGCCCCAGACTAAAAATTATCATATTGGATGACCATTTAAACGGGACTTCCAGCCCCCACTTCTAGGATCCCCTGCCATTCTTATATGACAAAATATCCACAGCTTACATTGCATAGTCATTACTATAAACATGTGTTAGTTTATTATGAAACCAATATACTTCTTTTCTTCTGACCTTTATATCAAGGACTCAAAACATTTCTGGTACTTCACATGAAGGAGCCTTAACTATCAAACCTCATACCACAAT